TTTCGCTTACCTTAATCGAACGCTTTGCGCCGACAATCGTTTACCGCGTCCAGCCAGATGATACAGTCAGTTGGTCGTTCTTTGGTCCTTCTGGTCCTTTCATTATGCTGCTTCGCATAAATCATGGTCACGGTGGAGAAAGGCAACCAAAGAGCGGGACGATAGAGTGGGTAGATAGATGCCCCGTGATGTGGTCGACATCAAAGCCTGTGGAGAGTCCAAGTATTTTTAATTTTAATCAAATGCCTGACAAGCCACAGGACTCCCCATACTCCTATCCTTCTTGCGTCGAATGAATGTCTGGGATCTGGGCTCTGGGGTAACGGCTCCGGCTCCGGCAACCCCTCGCTTTTTATTTGACTTGGACATTTCAATTGCCGAGCAATTCCTTAATGGCTTTCCCCCTGCTGCTGCTGCTGCTACTAGTGTCCTTAGATGTAAATAAAAATGCATTGCGCTGCCATTTCCTGTGAAAGCCAAAAGCATTTGATGTAACTCATTTCAGCTTATGCAGCGGCCACGTGACGACAACATTTTTGCCAAGTCCACCACACCCACCCCCCTTCTCCGCTCTCCCTGTTGTCGTATTTATATTTGCATTTCCATTTGTGTATGTGTTAGTGTGTGTATAGAAAGGGTTCTTTTTTGGATACTCTAGCAGAGGGTATTGGGTGTTTGAGGAGGACTTTTTACGGCCCCGAAAAGTTTATCCATTCGGCCAGAACAGAATAATATAAGCAATCGGTGGATACACAAGACACAGACAATTCTAATAAATTTTACAAATTTGTGGCACATTCATCTTTGTCTTGGAAAACAAATTTAATTTGAATATAAAAGAAATATAATGATTTTCGCATTTATTTTTCCAACCTGATCACCTGACACCTGCACAAGTGCAAGGGTATCCAATGCTTCGACTTTCAACCTTTTTCCCTCTTTTTTTTTGTTGTATAATGTTAAGCTTTTTTCTGTTGCACTGAAACGGCTTTTATGTGTTTTTCTTCGCCAAAGCTGTGTGAAATCAATGGAAGCTGGTTCCTTCTCCTACCACGCCACGCCACACCACACCATACCACTGCACTCTGTCATCTCCGTTCTGCCCCTTTCTCATACTGTAGCACGCCCCAACTGGCCGCGTTTTTGTCTGTGATTGCGCAAAGTGCGACGCTGTCCTGCTTGATGCGAAAGCGTTTTATTTAAATATATATACATATATGTGTGTAAATATATATGTATGTGGTACGTACTACGTATCCATAGGTAGATGTAGGTGGCACGGGGTGCGTGTGTTGTATAGTGGCAGGTAAACCGTAACGGTTTAAATCTGCTTGTCCAACACTCGGCTTTCATGCCACACCATCCCCATCCCTTTGGCAGAGTCCCGTATTTGTGTCAGTTCCGTGCAGATCGCTTACATTTGGCATAAAAAGGGCTCCGCTCCTCCCAAACGAAACGAACAAAACGAACAAAAAAACAACCAACAGAGCCATGTTAAAAACAGTTTTATGCACTGCCAGAACGAGCTGGAATAAAATAAATACAAGTATACTGGCTGGCTGCCTTCAATCGTGTGGCATGGAATGGTCCTTAGCCTGCTGCTCTTCCATATCCACATCCTCAACCTCATCCCCATTCTCGTTCTCGTTCAGTCCTGTGCTCCTGGTTTGGTTTTTGCCTGGCAAAACGCAAAAGTGCCCACGCTTCAATGCGTGTATCTGTCGCAAAGGCCGATATGCTTTAAAAAGTGATTTTTACAAGCCACAAAATTTCACACACACACCACAGCTATGTACTACACTGGGCGAACAATCCTTCTCATTCTCTAGGATTTTTACTATGGGCAGTGATAGATCTTAAAGGGGCGAGTGGAAATAAAATATATGAAATCCTTACACTTAAAGGAGGAGTACATTACGTTACATTACTTTTACACACATTTTCTATATTTTTGTTTCCTTCATTTCGAATTACATTGAATTTGCCAGATTGGATTTTGATTTTGAATTTATATTCAAATAAAATTTAAAAAAATAACTCTCATTTTTTGTGTTAATTTTTTTTCCTTAACTCCATATCGAGAAGTTCGTAATTTTTTCCAGTGTGTCGTATCATATGCTAAAAAAAACATAGTCCAGGAGGGCAGCAGTCGGTGTGGGGTTCTGCATCGGCCATCGTAAAGTACACAGAAGGCAAAACTGTTTTTGGCTGAATAGTCAAGTAAAGTGCTCCGAGCCTTTGGCTTTGGCTTGGGTTTTGTCGATTTGCAATTTTCGGCTTTGGCCAGAATCGTTTTACAGTTAATGAATGAGTCTCTGAGCTGTTATTTTTTCCTGTGGCTCAGCCGCCGCTCACTTCTCTGTTTGCGGACCTGCAATTGATGGTGATTGAATTTTTTGATTGATCGCTGCACTGATTGATTTAGCTGCGTTCAACGGCAGGCATGCAGGCAGACATGCAGGCAGGCAGGCAGGCAGGCATTCACTTGCATTGTGCAAAGCCAAAAGGTTAAAAACTAATAAAAACTAACGAAACAAAAAACCGGGGGCGAGCCATGGGCTCGAATATTCACGGGTTAATTGAAATGCGGCAACGTTCAAATATGGTCACAACACACAACCGCCGATTCCAAGCGCCGCTCGGGCCTAAAGGCGGAGTCGCTCTCCGAGCCACCTTTTGGGAATACACTTGCAATTACGCTAAAAGCAATTCCCGAACCGAACCCAAAACACAGAGGCAAACGAGAGTGTCTTAGCCCCCTTGTTGCCAGACCCCAAAGTGTTGCGCCAGACAAACCCTTAGACTCCGACAAACAAACAGATAAACCCATTTTCCCCGGCTCTAATGCCTGGGCCCACAAATTTTTATTTAAAGCATTTTACTGTGGATCGTGTTTTGCTACAGCTTTTTCACTCTATCCTCTACACTCTGTCCTCTATTCGGATGTCGTACAATCAACTTAAACTAAGATTACAGGCGCCGCACCGCTAAGCCTCCTGGAAAAATGTGTGCCACAGAACCACTCAGAGACGACTACTCCAACGCCGACTCTGGCTCTGGCTCTCCTTCTCCCGCTGGCCCCCCCCAGGGCGCGTACGCATGCTATTTGTATTTAAAATGGGATTTACCTGGGGTTTTGTCACTTCTTTTAGCGGGGCTTTTAATTTGATTTAATGCGTCTACGCGTGCCGCGTGTACAGTTGGTCCTCCTGCTCCTCATGGACTCCTTCTCGCTGAAATGGAGACATCTTTTGTCAGTGTGTGTGTGTGTGTTTGCCCCGGGACAAATGTGAGGTAAGGGTTTCCCGCATTTCCCCAGCGAATTTTGGGCAAGTGAAAACTTGTGTTTTTGGGAAAACTATGTACAAACTCGATTGCAAATGTATGCCAGTTGTTGCCGTTTGCCAGTTGCTGGCTGCGGCGGCTGTGGCGGCTGTGGCGGCTGGGTTTTTGTTTTGGGTGGGAAAAATGCAAATTAATTTTCCGCAGGCTTTTCGTTGCGTTTACATTAAATATGAGTGCTCATGCTTTCCATTCGTGGTGGCCTCTATTTCCAGTTTGATTTCAGTTTATGTAAATGTTGGTTCTACCAGCATCCTTGCTGGTGTCGGCGCCAGTGCCAGTGCCGGTGCCAGTGCCTCTCTCGGTGCCACCAGCAGGTCCTTCCAGCAGTTAGTTATTTGTAGCCGTCGCTCCACATCAAAGACAGGCAAAGAACATTTGCGCCAGCGGCTAGACTTTGAACTGTGGGATTTCCCGGGAAATGGGAAAGTGGAGAAGCTGGCAGACTTTGCTCCTGGCTTAACCGCAATTAAAACTGAATTCTTGTTTACGCTGTCATTGGCGAATCTGTAAATCAATTTTATGCGTATCTTAAGCAATTCATTTTCTCGAATTTTAATTGACTGTGTTGATTCCACCACTCATTTGTTTACATAATTGTGTTTCTTCAGAGGAAACACACACAAAACGAAGAAATTGAAGCTAAACGTGGAAAGTCGGGGCAGTGCAAGCCGCAGAATTGGGCCATTCTACAGTATTTTGTGTGTGTGTGTGTTTCCCCCCTTTTGGATTTCATATTTGATTACTGTTCTTGCCACTTACTCCTCTGCTTCTTTGGCGTTTAGAGTAAATGCTCATTTGCTTCATAAAGGTGACCAAAGTGGCAACCAGAACATTAATTAATTATTGGCTATGAATGCTATGCGATTGATGCTGATGTTTGTTTCCATGTTTCATAATTTGTTGCTGAAGATTGTGCAGGAATTAAATCAGCGTGGATTTCTATCTGAGACTCGAATGGATCCAACTTCAAATATAAATACAATGCACTGTCCCTGGGAGTGTCCTTTGCTTTAGGATAATTTCACAACTGCAATCGGAAAATCAAAACATTTCTATTTATACCATATCCTTTTACACTCAGAAAAGTGGGAGGATACGTTCTACGACGGAATGGTAAATGTTTCATTGCAAATGGAACATTTTGTTGAGTGCATTCCGATGAGAAATGTGTAACTCTTCCCACGCATTGGACGCACAAAATCATGGGAAGTAGGATATTTCGGAACCATTCCTGTCAGGTCAGGTTAGGAGAGACCCCGTTATTGTTTTGTTTAGCTCATGAACAATGTTTGTTGAATTCTTGATGTAATAATCAAGTGCAATGCATTTTCCAGCTCGACAGATTCCATTTCCCCTATAGCCTTGGGAATACTGTGAGGGTTTTCCCACGCATTCGACACACAATAATCAATTATTGCGTTTTTTGTACTGAATTCTTGATTCAATAATTACTTGCAAGGCGTTGTCTTACTCCAAATTCCCATTTTCTTGACCTTCGCTTGCATTCAATATATGTATCATAGCTCGATGAATGCCATAATCCGAATAGAATGAGATCATACAGGGGCGCCTTTTTGGACAGCCTGTGTGGGGAAATATTTTGATGACCATTGCCCTTCAGGGTAACAACAAGCTAATGTTTATTTATTGCAGGTATTTGATATAGTTATTGAGTGAGAATTATAAATGTGATCTAGTTAGTTCGTAGCTATTTACTTGCTCTTCATTGTCCCAATCCTAATTGATTCACAAATGTAACCACAGAGAATGCCAGCTTGGCGACCTGTAGAGGAATTCGAGAGACAATTAGAGTCGAAATTGAAATTGAAAGGCTTCTCGATTCCTTACCTTGATGTTGGTGCTCAGGCCAATGGGGAATATAGATCCGGCGGTGAAGGAGATCGGTACCTGGACATTTTGCAGGAAGTAAAACAAAGTGGACACATATCGGCGGCTCGCGCTCCTCCAGTTGGAGTGAAATATGGCCACGGCCAGGGACTCACAGTCCTCGATGATGAGGTCACAGGTGCCGCAGAAGGGAAACGTCTGGGCAATCTGAAGGAATATATAAGCCAATGTACTCAACCGTGCCCAGGAGTCCGCAAAGAAGGTCAGATTGATCATGGATATGCCCAGGACCAAGCCGACCAGCAGGAATTGCACAAAGATGACTGGCTCGATCATGGGACGCATGATTGAGGCGTATCTATAGGAAAATTCAGAAGATAATCACATACAAATTCAATTATTGAACATTCAGTTTATACTCCAGAATACGTTTGTGATCCTCAATGCAATTCTCCAGTTCCTTGTTGTTGTCATCATCACTCTTACTGGGGTCCGTGCAAAGCTTCTCAACTCTCTGCCTGAGGAGCTTTATGTGGGCCCGTAAGATCAGACTAAACAGTAGCGAAAAACAATCCACCATGGCGGTTTTGTAAACTATAAGGTACATGGGAATCAGCTCCAGCACTGAAACTATCCAAAGGCTCATCGAGCCGTCGTGCCAATCAATGAATGGATAGTAGATGTTCCATGGCGCCATACGCGAGAAGGCTGCAATGATATAGGTCGAGGCGGTATAGGTGGTGAAGATGGCTTGGTAGATGAGATATGCAATGTTGCATCGTGCCACCCAGCGATGCACTTCGATGCGCTCCTGGACGTCGATGCAACGCGCGTCCATGAGGACAAGCAGATCCTTGATCTTGTAATAGCTGGACAGATTGAGTCTTAAGAAAAGCAACTTGAAAGCAAATCCCGTTGCATTGATGGCGACCTGCAGCGCCGACAGCACTTCCGTTACTGAAAGGTTCTTAAAACCCACGTAAAACGTAATATAGATTCCAATTGGCACATAGACTGTGGACCAAGCAACGATGATAATCGCTATCACTTTTCGGACAGGTGTCCATCCACCTTCTGGGGGTATCCATCCCATTGAGATCATGGAGTGCTTAATCAACTTGAATGAATCCTGCGAGGTCATAAGATTCGACGGATCTGGCTCTTCCAACAATTTAAGCATTGCGTTTCACTGTTTATCCTGTGCTGTGTCTAGCTGTTGACTGGGCCCACGTCCGAACTGGGAGCTGTCAAACCAAAATGTCTGTATTTATACCATCTCTTTTCACACTGGGTGGTACCACCAAGTGGGTGGTACCCATCCTTCGATGCATTTCGATGACAAATGTGTAACTCTTCCCACGCAATCGACGCACAATAATAAATAACCAGTGGGACTATTGGCTACACAGCTTTAGCTTTGTGCCTTGTATAGTTTCTTGAATTCGTAATAACTTAACTACTTGCAATGCGCTTTCCACACTAGCTGATTAATGAATGATTGATACGATGAATATTATAATTAATATACGTAACTATATGCCTTCGGCATATACATAGCACGCATTCGTGTAGTATGTACCACATGGGCACCCCATGAAACATGCAGCACTACTGGACTGCTGAACTGCTGGACTGCTGAACTGCTGGACTGGTGGCCATTGTCTGTCGTGTGTTCGAGTTAATTTATAGACTTATAAACACTTAATCACCGGAAAAATGGCATAGCGCATGTGTAAAATGTGCCCAGTGCCACGCATGTTGATTACTGTTCCGCGTCTGCCTGTCTTTGGGCTGTATTTCACACGGAGATGAAGTCGGAGCCAGAGTCAGAGATAGGAACTGCGGCACAGTGGCACAACCAGAGGCTTAATAGTTGTTAGTTAGTTGTGCGTGCGGCAGCGGCAGCGGCAGAGGCCCATGCCATGCCATGCCATGGCTCTTGCTCTGGCTGTGGCTGTGGGTCTGTTGCTTTGCCGCTGCGTAACACATTTGCCGTAATTTATACTTTATAGCCTCGAAGCCAGATATGAAAAGTCGCATATAGCACAGCCCAGAAGAGAACAGCAGAGCCACACACGCATAATATCTGAAGCTATATATTTCTCCTCCAGCTGCTGGTTCAACATGTTGACTTTTATGCCATTTTCTGCGGTTACCAAGTCAACTGTGGTCAGGACTTCGTCCCAGATATTTATGCATGCATATAAATAACAAGAGAGAGAGAGAGGAAAAGAGGGCCTCCTGTCGCCTGTCTCCATCACCATCTCCATCTCCATCTCTGACTGCGTGTCGAGCTTATGTTATTAGATTTACGGCGTTTGTGGTGGGTGATGCCCATAAAAGAGTGCAGACATTCAAATAAACAGCAAAGAGTTCACTGCATAATTAAAGCGGCAGAAGGATGACCTTCAATCAAGGGATGACAGAGTTCATTACACACCCACCATTCCAGTAATTCCAACCATCCATGCTACCATATTTCCATCGAAAAAGTGGCAACTAGGGAGCTGTCTCTGCCACGTAGAGAGATTGTGAGACAATTGGCCAAGACAATTGTTGGCCATATTGATGCCTGGCGTTTGCTGATTCCAAACACACGCTCTCTGCCGCTCCTTCGTCTAATGATTGCAACAACGTGACGCATAAACATTTTTCTGTTTCGCACAATTTCGTCTATGCCTTTTTTTCACTTTTCTCTTTGACTCTGACTCTGACTCCTGCATGGTGCTTAGCCAAGTTAAGGCTTATTGTTGGCCATTTTGGGGCACGTCATGTGTGCGTGTGTGTGCATGTCTGTGTGTGCATAAGGCACCGCCTGATGAAGTATTGTCTCTGAATCATAAACTGATTTGCTTAAAAGCGTGTCTGCCAGCCGCTTTTCACGTAGCAGCAGCAGCAACAGCAACAGCACTCTACGTGCCTCGCATCGCATCGAATCCCTGTGGCACATGCATTGATTTACCTTTCGGTAAAACCTTATTAAACTTTTCCCCATTCTAAACGTGTGCTAATTGCTTTTTGTGCGAAAAACCGAAAAACCCACCGGTAACATGACCACTCATCCAGAAGAACCGCGTTATGAGCCTACGCTTCGTGAGAGGAAGCGGGCGGCCATTAAAAATTGATTTATTTTTAATTATCAGTGACGTGCGGCACAATAATAAATAAACGTGGAAATTTATTGCAACGTCAAAAGCGATGGCGGCCTCAACAATGGCGTGCGTGGGTCGTTTGTATCGGTCGTTGGTCGGTTGGTCCCCTGCTCTACAAACAAACTTCATATTGGGTCTGTCCTATATGTTATATGGAGGTACACATCGCGATGTGTGGACCTGCATTTAGGCTGTGCTTGTTGGAAAATATTTAGAATCCACCCCCAGGTTGGCTAGTGGTGTAATGGCATGTGGAGAGGATGGGTGGAGGATGGGTCCATGTGCACGGCCAAACAACCAGGCAATTCGAGTTTTTGGCATATTTTACAAACACTTTGCTCATGTCGGCGCTTGTCTGACATGAAATACCCTTTTTTGGAGAGGGTTTAATGATTTTCAATGGATATTTTGCATAGCAGAAAGATTGCAAAATTTTGATTCTACAATACAAAATTCTAAATATTAAACAAATTATGAAAATCGTTTCATTTTATCACCATAAATAAATCTGTTTTCAAGGGTATTCGAAATGTTGGTCGAGCAAACCATATTTTTGTTTATGTTTTTAGTTTTTCTTGATGCTGATGCAGATATTGGTGTTGCTGTTGTTGCTGCTGCTGTTATTATTATTATTGCAGCTGTCGCTCATGTTCAAAAATGCGCCAAAAATTCTATTATCATAGCCATTGTCGCGCCTGTCGTGTGACAAGCGTTCGACCAACAACATTGTCACCAGCAACATTTTTACTAATTTATTAACTAAGTCCCCGCCGGCCATCGAACGAATGGCCAGCGAAGCGGTGCAAATATTTGTGCGACTTTATGTTGAACTCGTATGTGGCCCCAACCACAGTCTGTTAATGAATGGTCGTCGCCGGGATTTCTGTAGAATTTTAGGTAAAATATCAACAGTAGTCGAATGCGGGGTGTCGAATGACAGAAGTATTTTGCTGGAAATTCGAGATTTCTAATTCCATTGCGATTTTCCCAGTGCCATTCATCAATGCCTCGTTGTGCAATTTACGGGCACATTCACAGTGCAGCACCGCTGCACCCATTGTGGTTGGCCCTTTTTGCGGCTAGGACGCGTTTAATGAATTTTTCATGTCATCATGGCCATGGCCATTGCCCCACTTTGAATTATTCACCCATTCGCCCCACACCGGAACCCCACGAACGTTCAACGTTCAATTGTACTTACCGCATTGCAATTCAAATCAATTTTTGATTTGGCAGATTTGCATTTTTTATTCATTGCTGCAAAAGAAATTCCATTCCTGTTTTTGTTTGCGAAAAATTGTAAAATTTATTTTCATCCAACGATTTGCAGCATTTTTTTTTTATTGCCAGAATATTTTGTGTGGGCAAGCAAAGGTATAGAGGATTGGAAGGGTAGAGCAAAAGAATCCCTTCAGTAGTCACCGATTGAATCGCAGAGTGTGGAGTGGATCTTAAGACTAGAAAAGATAAAATTTTTTTGAAAGTACAACCATTAGATCTTAGTAGATGATGCACCCACAAGATTGGAACAGGAATATAACAATAGTTAAAAGACACAACCAAGACATCTTTAGAATTCTAATGCGGATGAAGACTTAAAATCCTCTTCCACTTTTCATATTAAATAAGAACTTATTTATCCAAGTAAAAACAGTTTCCATATATCAACAAAGAAAATTAATAAATGGCGCTACCAACAGATGATGAAAGGAGACCACTTGATTGGAGTGTAATCGGCTAACTGGTATTCCATAGTCGAGACCCTTGAATGGAGTGCATATTCCACGCTCCCGCTCTATGTGTTTGTCTGTCTGTCCTTTTGTCTGCCTGGCTATCTCGTCATCTCTTGCGCTGGATGCATATGCATGTGCCGTAGCTACATACATACATATATTTTATTTACATGCCAGTTTTTTGCTGCGATGCGGTAATTGATACGCTAAACTGCATAACGCAGATTATGACGTTAACATGGAAATGCATAAATGAATCGCAGCCCGGAATGAATGGCAGTCCCAGTCCCAAAACCATCAACGATCCATGGCCAAAGAGCGGCAACATGGCAACAAAGGAAGCATTCAAATATTCAATAAAAGAGGAATACTATTATTATTTTTATTACTTTATATTACACACATAGTATATTTGGTTTGGCATTAAATTTACATGGCTATCATGCTAGTTATGAGTTCCGTTGAAATTTAATTATTCACATTATCCGCTAATTTTTTACACAATTGTTATTATTTGATGATCTGCGTGGGGCCCAATGCTTTACTATGTACAGCAAAAAAAGTTTGAAAAGCAATTTAAAAATGAAATTTATGAAAGCCGAACCAAAGAAATGGCAATTGCTCTGTGGACCAAAAAGGTAATTAGAATTCATGACACGCTTTATGAAATATCACACATACGCAGTGTGGCAAAGACGTTGTGCTCGCTCTGGCGTTCCCTCTCTCTCTCTCTCTCTCCCTCTTCTCTTCTCTTTCTTTGATTTACGATTTTCAGATATACACACACAAATACACACACTCACACAAGCAATGCAAAGTAATTTATGACAATTTTCCTTGCCACAAAAACTGCGAGTTGCAATCAAAGCCGAAAAATGGCTAAGGCCAAGCCAGAAACTCATATAAATGTCAAAAAGCTAACGATGGATGCCTCTGGTGCTGCTCTGCAGATGCATTAGTCGAGCACTTGACTCGTGGCTCCAGCCATTTCTCTGTGTCTCTCTATCTTACTCTCTGTTTCTCTCTCCTCTGGGTTTACTCTCAAGACGCCGCCGCCTGCATTGGCATTAGCAGTCGCCTCTAAACAAAGCCCCACGACTCTCGACTCTCGACTCTAGTCGCCATCCAATGAGGCAGCCTGGAACAGTGTCGCGCTGTAGCTGTTGCTCGACATACAATTTTTGCATATCAAATGGGTTTTGCTGTGCTGTTGGCCTGTGCCGTGTATTTTAATGGCGTGAAGTCAACGGCGCGTAAATAATAACAAAAAATTGCAATAGAAAATGCTGTACTCGAATGACTCGACCATTAGATACCCGGTAATCAGTGGAGGCC